TGGCCTAATTAAGTATAGAAACAGAGTAGATATTCACTAGGTGGTTGACTAACTGAGAAAGTTAGAAGCCTCATGAAACTCCAGGCTGTTACAATAATCTACAGGCAGCAACTTCAGATCACTGAGGTACACTAAACTTTCTAAACAATTTTAGATCCAGGGCTACCCTCAGGAGAGACAGTCCTATTTCAACAACATGCTCACTTAAACTGTTGGACACTTTTGCCAAGTCTTATATTCTCAAATGTAATTTCTTGGTGAGTTTGTTTCAACCTTTCCCCCAAGACTACTCTCTTAATTCACTCTATGGCCATAGATGATCTTGCCCTCTAATACCTTCATGAATCATCTCCTACCCTCTCATCATCTTCTTCTGCCACAGTGGTCTCCTTTGCAGTTCCTAAAACACACCAAGTGGTCTCCCATCTCAGGGTTTTTGCACTTTCCTGTTATTTCCAGTCAGGAATGCCCTTTCCCCCAGTAAATGACTCACTCCGTCAGATCTCTGACCATCCCTTTTAAAAACAGCAACTTCCAACTTCACCCAGCACTCCCTATCCTCCTGCTTTGCCTTTTCCACCCATTAGTTGGCATGCTATGTTGTTTGTTTGTTGACTGGCTGCTCCACTAATACTTCTAATTCATTGAATGTAGGATTTTTTTTTTTTTTTTGGTTTGGCACACTTCTTTCTTCCCAATGTCTAGAACAGTGTTTAATACAGAGTAGATGCTCAGATGTGTGTTGAATGAAAGACCAGAAGTAGAGAGGCTGCTGAGGAGACTATAGAGATGTAGGCAGACCATGTTCTCAAATATGTGACCTAGTCAGTTTGGACTTTGTCTTGTCAATGGTGAGACCTGATCTGATCTGGGAAGTGAAAAGCTCAAATGAAAGAGTACTGGGGAAGGAGATGAGTCTTAGGATAGAATGGTTAGTTAACAGGTCATTACAACAGCTCAGGCCAAAGAGAATGAAGCCCTGAACTAAAGAAGATGGCAGAGATGCAGGAATGAATTTGAGACATTTCAAAAGTAGATTTTAGTGACTGACTAAATGTGTGTGGTAAAGGAAGGAAAAGATTATAGGATGATTCTCAGATTTCTGGATTAAGCAACTAGATGGAAGTTTGAGTTATTAATCAAAAGGGAAATTAGAGGAAAAGCAAAGAATGTGCAAAAATGAATTAATTTCTGGATTTGTTGAATTTAAAGTTTTCAGAGACTCCTAGGACGCAGGTGGAAGTATGGTTTCTCAATGCTTTCAAATTTGATCCTGTCCCTCGTCAATAACTCTGTCATTTACTTGAGGACATCCAAACCCCTGTACCGACAAGAACTTTCAAGTCACTTTGTGCCTCCTTTTTAACCACATTTCTTATTGTTCCAACCACATCCTCCACTTTGATCGCACTTCTGTGAAGTTCTGTTAATTTTTCTTTGTTTCAGTGTCTTCATTCACACTGTCCCCTCTGTCCTTTGTGTTTTTCCCTAAGGAATTACTACCCAGCCCCCTACCCTCAACTCAGAGGCCCTCGTTTGCCCTATCCAGTCCACTCTGAGCATTTATCCTGGCAGCATCGTTCTCTGCCCCGCCCCACGCCTGTCTCTTTCAGCGCTTCTCCCCGGCAGGGACTGAGGCTATAACTCCCCCAAACCCCAAGAGCCCAGCGTAGGCAGACTCATCGCTGGCCTCAGCACTGACTAGTTGAAAGGGGGCGTGGCACAGATAAACAGGGACCAGGGAAGCTGGGAGTCCCTTTTACCTCTTCGCGGTAGTCCTCAGGACCGAATTCCTTGCAGAGTTTGGAGACAGCAGCGACCCCTTGCGGGCAGCCGGGCCTCAAAGGACAGTCTATAGGAGAGGAAGGTGGCGCAGCGTCAGGGTGCTTCGAATCGAGGCCAGAGCCCTTTTTCCTCTGCGTGAAGCTTAAAATACTTTTGAAACCGTCCACAGGTAGGCTCTAGTAGGCCCACTTTTGCCCTCCTGGACCCCTTCCCGTCTTGTGACGCCCGCTCACCTAGGTTGATCCGCCCCACAGTCTTCGGAATCGGCGCCATCTCCTGTCAACAGTGACTCGAAAGTGAAAGATATTCTTGTATTTGATACTGGCCGAAGAACAGGGTGGGTCAGAGTAGGTAACCATCTTTGTTACGGGCAGAAGCCTCTGATTACGGAGCACGAGAGAGGTCATCAGCGTTCTGGAGGCTCTCTGGCAAGATATGACGGCTCCCGGGACGGGGCGGAGTCCCAGCTACGGCAGGCGTAGGGCGGTGCGGGGAAGTGAGAATCGATAAGTCCGTTTCGGACCTGCCGCCCGATGGCCCAGGCGTCTCGCCCTGGTGGCCTTCTGCCTCCACTCGCTGCCTTGCCGCCGCTGTGGGTGCAACCCGGGGGCGCTGCGGAGGAGCTGTGGGAGGGAAGGTGGGCGGGCGCTACCTCGGGAGAGGTTCGCGGCTGGCGGGGGCTGCCAGTTGCCGGGAGCATCGCCTGCCTGGGCTCACGGCCGGGTGAAGCTCCGGGAGGGCAAGTGTGGTGGACTGGGGCGGTGTCGGCGGACGCGAGCGAGGACCACGAGGCTGGGGTTGCAGACAGGAGCCGGGAGCCGGCAGCAGGCAGCCCAATTCCTCCAGTGCTACAGCGTCTTCGGACTGTGTTGCTGCGGCTGCACCGCCAACGGGAGCAGCTCCTCCGGGCCCGCGACTGCACTCGCCAGCTGCAGGCGACTCTGCACCTTCTAAGGACCCTGAGTCTCGGTACACCATCGCCTGGTCCGAGCCCGTTGCTCCAGCTGTGCTGCGACCTGCTACCGCACCCTTCCCGAGGGTCCGTCCTGCGAACCCGGTTTCTTGATCCCTTCGAGCCGCTGCTCCTGACGCGCCTTGTCGGACTAGCTACTCAGCGCCTGGATGCTGCCATCGAGATGCAGCTTCGCGCCCTGGGCCGGGCGCCCTCCAGCCCGGGCCTGTCGTCCCAGCTCTCAGAGCTGCTTCTGGTTCTTCCCACCTACCACCAGCTACAGGGAAAAGCTGTGACCCAAGTCCCAGGGGCAGCGCGCCCTTTTACTTCGGCCCGAGTGCTCCGCCTCCTGGCGGGGGAGCGAGGTTGCCAAGTGGCAGATCGGCTCGATGTGGCATTCAAGGGACCAGGTTTGAGGGACCAGCTGCGCAGGCAGTGTCAAGAGGAGCGGGAGCTGCTGCCAGGGCTGCTGGGCCTGGTGGGGTGCGTGGCAGGGTCATCCAGCAGTGGACTGGGGCTTGGAGAGGCTGGGGCCCTGTGGAGCCAGTATTGGACGCTGCTATGGGCAGCCTGTGCTCAGAGTCTGGACCTGAAGCTGGGACTTTGGAAGGACCCCAGGGCAGCCGCACAACAGCTGAGTCAGGCATTGGGTCAGGGTGAGTGATGGGGCCTGGATTGGCTTTTGGGAAGGGAGCTCTGGTAGCCTAGTGCCTAAGGCACTTAACTACCAACCAGAAGGCTGGTGGTTCAAACCCTCCTCGGAAGGAAGGCTGGGCAATCTACTTCCGTAGTGACACCGCCTTGGAAACCCAAGGAGGGGTCACTATGAGTCGGGTCCAACTCCAGCACACAACAACAACAATGGGATCTTTTTCTTATCCCTAATCAGCTTATGTATCTGCCAGCCTGACTGGCATGGGTCCTGACAAAAGCAGGCCCTTTAGAATGAATGTTTTTAGGTTTCAGACTATAGCTTCTGGGTTTTCAAGGCAGTCTTGCCTTCCATCCCGGTTGTGAGTTTTAGAGGCAGCCTCTTCCCCCAGCCTCCATCAGTGAATGGACACTGGTTTTGGGAAAGAGTGGCTGTTTTCAGGCTTCAGGGTGATTTCTCCCACTAGCATCACTACCTCAGGAATGTGAGAAGGAGCTGGCTTCTTTGTGCTACAGCCTACTTCATCAGCCACTCATCTGGAGCTGGGATCAAGGTGAGAAGAAAAGGGTATTAGGGGTGACATGAGTCTCAGATTGTCCATCCCCTATCAGACCATGCCTCTTCATCCACAGGCTTCTGCCAGGCCTTGGGATTGGCTCATGGGGATCAAAACACCCTTCCCTCATCCTCGGATGGTAGCTCCAGCTCTCAAACGACTGTACTTCTGCAACAGCTCTTCCCGCCTCTCTTGGATGCCCTTCAGGAACCCAGGTCAGGGCTGATGCTTTGTCAGCCTCCAGGTGAGATGATGGGCTGGGCTGGGGAACAGAATAGTTGAAAATGTCCCCTTTTCGCCATTCTGAAGTCTGCCTCCCCTCCCAAAGATGCTCTATGGCCCCCTCAACTACTCTTCTCTCTTCCTCAGGTCCTGAACCTCTCGCTCTGGGACTCTCTACCCTCCAGACCACCTTGCTCTGGTTTTGGGGAAGGGTCCAGCAACACCTGGCAGCATGGGTCCCAAGATCTTTCCTGCTCCTGATCCAGAAGGACTTGCCTGTGAGTAACTGGGGAGTTGGGAAGGGAGCAGCCTGAGTGGGGCTCAGACCTTACTCCCTTTTTCTTTCCAAAGCCTCTACTGCACATGGCACAAGCTCTGTCTAGCCTAGCCTCAGGGAAAAGTTTGGTCTTGGAGGTGGAGCAGCAGCTTGGCCTGGAGATCCAGAAGCTAACTTCACAGATCCAGGTGAAAACAGGGGCCTTGGTAGTAGCAGTTTAAGACCCTCTTCTGTGCCCAGCTTTGGGGGGTAGAAGGGTTGGAACATCTCAGTGACTTGGAATCTCCTTGAAATCTCTGCTAAATTTCTTTTCTTGTTCTGTTGTTTTGTTTTCTAATTTTTTATTACGGAAAATTTCAGACCTATGCAAGAATAGAGGAGTATAATGGACCCTTGTGTTCCCATCACAAAGGTTTAACAATTATCAGTTCATGTCAGTTTTGTTTCATCTGTATTTCTCTCCACCTCCAAAATGTCAGGCTGTCATTCTGTGATGTTAACAGCCATTGATGATCATTTCCTAGATCCATTACTTCATTAAGGGTTGCAAAGTGATGCTATTCCAATTCCATTATTCCTGCTTCATTTATTAGCTGGATTATTCCTATAAAGAGAAACTTGCTTTCTTTAATTATTAGGTATATTTTGTCTAGAAAAAGCAGGATAAATGACTGAACCTTTCCCTTTACTTACTGCTTTGAATATAATGCTTCTCTTCTTTTTAAAAGTTTAATTTGTATTTTTATTACAGTAATGCTGTCTATAATTAAAAGTGAAATAGAATATTATTTTACAAGGCTTCTGATGAAAAACTAGCACTTTAAATGCCTCCTATTGCACTTCTAATTCTTGTTCCATAATGGTATTTTTTTGTCTACTCTTGGCTGTTTCTTCTAATATGTTCTTCTGTATTTATGAATAAAGCTATTATGCTGCTATTTTAATTTTTCTTCATTCTGCACATTATCTAGTCCTCCCATGGAAGATGTCTCTGGTTTTTGTTTTGTTTTCTGTTCCTGCCCATTTTTCTCCTCTTTGCTCTGATAGGGGCAAGACTTTAGAATTCAGTCCTTGACCCTCTGCTCCTTTTCTATCTGCATTTCCATTCACCCATAAATCCTTGGTACTGTGGACTCCCACACTTTAGCTCTTCTTGGCTCCCATCATCTGCATTTGCTGGTTGAGGATTCCCACCTTTGTTGTTATTGTTATGTGCTCTTTATTTACTGCTATTTTCTCAAACGCAACATGTGCCAGAGCAAGCTCATCATGGGTAAAGTAGATAGTGATGGTCATAGAAGTTCTAAGGAGAGAAGACCATGGTGGTCCTGTGGCTACAGCAGGTGATTGGGCAGATTCAGAGGTACAGCAGGGAATACTAGGAGTGAGAATTCATAGAACCTTGGAGGAATAGTGGGGAATTGACCTGACAGAACAGAAGCTCCCTCTCTGTGTGTGTATATGTGTGTGTGTGTGTGTGTAGTGGGGGACTAAACTCGTTGGCATCAAATTGTGTTGTGGAGGGCACTGAACACCAGCCCAAAGAATCTGGGCTTTATCTCATGAATGATGGGGACCTGTTGTAAGAGCAGGAGAGAATCAGTGAAGGTGATGAAAGATGTTTGATCCAGCTGTAGTGGACCTCCCTTCGTAGATGATTATCAGAAGATTGTTACAATTCCCATTTCTTCTCTCAGCCTCTCTATCTCCAGATCATGCATACCCTCTATCATGTGCTTTTGGACATTGGGAGTTGGTGGTGGTGGTGGTGGGGTTTCTTTATCCTATTAATGTTTTTTTTTTTAGAATAAAATTAATCTCAGTGATCTTCCATTTTCTGAACCAAGCTGGGGCAAGCAGGGTAATCTTTTTTTTTTAACTGTGACTTGGGTGAAAGTTTACAGAGCAAATTCACTTTCCGTACAGCAGTTCACATATACTTTGTCTCATGACATTGACTGCAATTTACCCCAATGCAACAGCTCCCCTCCCACTTTCTCCCCATAGTTACCTCTTCCCTGTGTCCATCCCTCTGTGCACTCCTGCCCCCTGAGCTGTCTCCCTGTGCATAAGCAGCCCTTCTTTCTCCCATGATTGTTCTCTCCAAGGAGTGTATCTACCTCAGGTAAATGTTCAACTCATATGCCTATCTTTTGTTTGGCTGGAAGCCACAGGTGTGGGTTCAATTCCAGACCTGAAGGGCAGCTAGGGGACATAGTCTCAGTGGTTCCACCAGGCTCTATCAGACCAGCAAACCTGGTTGGTCAAGCAGGGTAATCTTAAGGCAATTGTTCATAGTCTTTTTGGGTCCAAACCTATTGGAAAACCCCATGAAAGCTATGGCACTTCTCCTTAGAAAATTCCCAGGACCACACAATTATGTTGCATACAACTCTGGAGTTTTATGGACCCCAGGTTAAACGTTTCACATTTAGAAAGGTTTCATAACTTGATAAACCTGTAACAAATAAGCCTCTTTTACTCTCTCCCTGTCCCACAGCTCCTGCCTGAAGAGTCACTAAATCTCTTTTCTCAAGAATGTTATAAACAAGCCACACACGGCTTTGAGCTCTACATGCCACGGGGTCGGTACTGGCGGCTTCGTCTCTACCCTGGTAATTGGTGCCAGCATCCCCTTCCAGGGATCCAAGAGGATAATACTATCCTGTCTCCTCCAAACCCTGGCCTTATCCCTACCTTCACTGGGTCCACTCCCACCCTAGAAATCCGGCTCTTCCCCCTAACACTCCATTTAAGGGTTCAGTGTATCTCCACAGCCCTTTCTCTTCTCTCACTCCAGAAATGCCTAGCATTCCTAGTGAATATGCTGTGTTGGTGGTCCGTACTGTACTGGAGCCTGTGTTGCAAGGCCTGCAGGGATTGCCACCCAAAGCCCAGGCTCCTGCCCTTGGTCATGCACTGACAGCCATCCTGGGTGCCTGGCTTGACCACATCCTCACCCATAGGATCCGGTTCAGGTGGGGAGAAAATGAGATAATGGCAGGGGGGAACTGGGGAAAGGGTTGGAGAATAAGTGGGGCAAAGCAGTTTGCAGAAGCAGGAGGGTCTGGTGGAGACACTGTACCTTGGCCTTCAGCCTGCAGGGGGCACTGCAACTCAGACAGGACTTTGGAGTGGTCCGGGAATTGCTGGAAGAAGAGCAGTGGGGCTTGTCCCCAGACCTTCGCCAGACACTGCTCACGCTCAGCATCTTCCAGAGGCTGGATGGGGCCCTGCTATGTTTGTTGCAGCAGCCCTTGCCCCAAACAAGAGTCCACAGGACGCTTCTCTGTTGCTGTGAGTCACTCCTCCTCCCCCTCCCCAGGCTCTTTGCCCCTCTCTTGCTCTTTAATGTACCCTTCCTCTACCTATCCTCACCATTGGTCTGGCTTCAGCACTTCACAAACCATCTGCTTTCCACTCTGGCCTCACCAGGTGCTTGTAATGAGGTCCAGACCACGGAATTGCCCAGCAGCAGCCTCAACAGCCTGGAGAGCTTGGAGCCCCCTCTTCGGCCTGGAGCATCCCCAGCCCAGACAGCTCAGTTGCTAAGCACACTATGGGGAGGGGGACCTAGCCCTGAGGCTTACCTGGTGGGAAATCAGCAGGCCTGGCTTGCCCTGAGGCAGCACCAGCGCCCCCATTGGCACCTGCATTTTCTTTCTTGCCTGGGAATCAGTCCTGAACAGTAAGGAGCCTGGGACCAGGAACTAGAAAGGCAGAGCTCCTCATCTGTAGCTGAAGAAGCTCAGACATTTGGAATTGCATATTAAAGAGGTCTGGAACTGGGAGCTTAGGAGACCATACCTGAGAAACACAAGGTACATATGAGCCTGGACTTACAAGCTAAGAATCCAAGATCACTGCAGAGCCTGGAATCCAAAGTGAAGGGCAAGACCACGGCCTGGAACCTGGAGGTCAGCATCCTTGAGAGACTCAGGCCTGTTTTCCCATCAGTGAAAACATCTGAGGGCCAGAAGCTGGGAGGAGGGTTAGAAGGTTGGATCCTAGGAGACAGGGAAAAGGAACAGCAACAGACAACAGAGCCTAGATGCCACTTCCTCTTAGTCCCAGGAGCCAGGCTGGAAACAAAATTATCAGGTACCACAAAGGTGAAACAGGCATTTCTGCACATGGATCAGTCCCAAAGGCTGTTACCCTGTATTCCCCTCCTCAGTCCTATTTTCAATCATTTAAGCTTTGGTTATTCAGCATGTTTAATCTTCAGTTACCTCCTGGTAGGCATATAATACCTGCAGTAGTAGTACACTCTCTCCATGGAGGGGACCAGGATTTAAGATGGTGGTAACCTAGATCTGGCACGCAGGATACTGAAGGGAAAAGGCTGCAGAAGACCGACGTTTCGAAGCTAGGTGCAAAGGAGTTTTGCGGGATGTTTTTGTCTTCACTGTGATTAGTACAAGAGGACTATTAACGATATATTTACTGATGGGTACTTTGGGCCCTTCGCTGTGTGACCCTGGCAGGTGACTCCATACCCAGCACCGAAATCTCTTCTCTTCCGCCTTCCTTCCCGCCTCTTGGGCTGAGGAACTCCGAGCGGCGGGCAGCGGCTGAGACGCCCTAGCTGGCGGAACCCCGCGGGCCGCCCAACCCCGGAGATGGCATCCTTTCGTAGTGGGCAAGACTTCCGCACGCGCGAGTCCCTTCCGGGGCAGAGGTTACAATGGCGGCGGCCTTGGCTCGGCTCGGGCTGCGGTCGGTAAAGCAGATTCGTGTTCAGTTCTGCCCCTTCGAGAAGAACGTGGAGTCTACGAGGTATGCGGGAGACGGGAAAGGGCACGCCTTCCTCGCATTATGAGTCTGAGCCCCCGCCTGCGTTTTACCACCGCAGGACCTTCCTCCAGGCGGTGAGCAGCGACAAGGTCCGCTCCACAAACCTCCAGTGCTCGGTGATTGCGGACGTGAGGCACGACGGCTCCGAACCCTGCGTGGACGTGCTGTTTGGTGGGCTTGGGTGGGGAATCGGGCTGGAGGGGGCGGCAGACAGCCCATGCGCCCCTTAGCCCCAACCCTGCCAATGCCTTATTCGTTTGTTTTTTTACCCAGGAGACGGACACCGTCTGATTATGCGCGGCTTCCACCTCACCGCCCAGGAGATGCTCACTGCCTTCGCCTCCCACATCCAGGCTAGGAACGCGGCCACCGGGGATAAGCCGGGCCCGGGTCCCAGGCGGGGCTGACGGCAAGATCTGCTAACCGACAGATTTCAGCCTGTGACTAGGACAGTTATCTAAGAAGAGCTTGACCTCAGCACTCACATCACTATCTGGAGGGACAAAGAACACAACCTCCCTCCCCCATACCCTCCCACCCCCTCCCCCAAAAAGCCCTGCCATTGCAAATCCAACAAATTCTGGAAGGAGGCAGAATCGGAGAGGGGTCTGTACGAACTTGAATTTATTTCACTTTCTTACCATCACTCAACCCTTTTCAATTGGACCATATACTCAAGGTACCTCTTACTTTTGAGAGTAATCTAATCAAGTAACTAATGAGATGTTAGTTCTCATCTTTTCATCTCAGTAGCATCTATCACTCTTAATTCACTTCTTTGTGAAAACTCTTCTCTTGAGTCCTAATGCTTCTCAGTATATTTAATCTTTAGTTACCTGTGTAGGGTTATTTTTTGATAGTTGTATACCTTTATCCTTTTTTTTTTTTAAATATCTCTGTACATTGTTCCTGGAGTATCTCGTCCTCTCCTAACTGAACAATGCTTTCTAGAGTTAAAACTTACATTTTTGTTTAGCTCTAATCCAGTTTTCTGTGCTGCATTCTCCCAACTCAGGTTACCTGCTACCAGTCTCCCCAAAGTCTTACTAGTACTCCTTGTCCAAAATAGATTTGATAGTCTTACATACACACATATTTGTCTCTCACCTGACACCCCATTCCTATTAAAGACTTCGTCTGCTCAACCACCTGGGCTTGAAACTGCAGCATTATCTCTACTTTCTCCCCTTCCTTGTGCATGCAGTCAGTTAATTTAGAATATTCTAATAATATTGCTTTAAACAATAGCTTCTGAAATGTTCTTTCATTCCCATTCTCTCTCCTGTGTCATTGTTGTACTCTCCCACCCAGTCTTTCTCAGTCATTTTTACTGCTGCTTACCTTTCCAAAACACATCACTGATTTTTATCTACCACTACTATCTGTTTCAGGACACAGTGCCTAAAGTAGTAGTTTTCATACTGGGTTACCGCTATAATGTGGATCATGAAATCAATTTAAGGGGTTAACTCAGCCATTAAAAAAATGTGAAATAGAATTTTAAAAAATCAGAGTGGAAAGCATTCTTTTTTTGTGTGTGATTTGGGTGAAAATTTACAGAGCAAATTCACTTTCCATACAGCAGTTCACATACACTTTGTCTCATGACATTGACTACAATTTACCACAATGCAACAGCTCCCCTCCCACCTCCTCCTGATAGTTATGTCTTCCCTGTGTCCATCCCTCCAGGAAAGCATTTTTTTAAGGAACTTTGTTTTTAAGCTTATAATAATGTATATATAATATATAGTACATATGTGTATGTATCTGCATATTGTGTACTACCAAGTCAATTCTGACTCACAGTGAATCTGTATGAGAATAGAATTGCCCATAGAGTTTCCTAGGCTGTAATCTTTATGGGAGCAGATAGCCAGGTCTTCTCTCTTGTGGAGCTGCTGGTAGTTTTGAATAGCAGTCAAGTGCTTAAACATTGTGCCACCAGGGCTCCTGTATCTGCATGTACTGAGGAGTAATATAAAATTATTTCTTTCCATGGGTTGTAGAAAAACATGGGTGAAAGCCACTGGTTTAGAGAAGAACTTTGGAATGCTTAGCCAAGCTACCAAGCACCTCCACACATTGGCTGCTGTGTACTTTGCCCAATACATCCACTTGAGCCTAATCACTACATCATTACTATACTTCCCTACTTAAAAGGGAAGTCCCTAGATGGCACAAACAGTTCAGCACTTGGCTATTAGCTGAAAGGTTGGTAGGTTGGAAGAAAGGCCTTAGAAGAAAATCCTGGCAATCCACTTAAGAAAAATCAGCACTGAAAACCCTATGGGGCACAGTTTTGCTCTGACACACATGGAATCACGATGAGTCTAAGGCAATTTTTTTTTTTTAAAGGAATCTGCCCCCACCACTACCTCTCAAAAAAGCAGGAGGCAGTATAGTGTGATAGTGAAGAGCCAGGCTGCTATTGCCTGTGCTCGAAACATGACTTTTTACTTATTCTCTCATAATTAATCTCCTGATTTCAATTTTCTCAATTTTCTACCTCATAGTTCTGCTGAGAGAATTAAATGAGTTAATACCTGTAGAATGCCTATAATGTTGCTGGGAACGTAGTTAACTACTGTTATCTAAGAGTCCTTATGGTATAGTTGAAAGAACACTGACTGCCTGGATTGGAGTTCCCTAATTCTGTGATTAACCAACTATTGGACCAATCTTAACTCCCCTTATATGTAAAATTTGGGCTGGTTCAACCATTGCTGTAAACAGATTGAGTACTGGCACTGTGCTTCTAGATTGTGAACTTGAGGTTGAGGCTTTTGTCTTTTTTGTCTGCAGCACCTTGCATAGTGTCTGATACAGAGTGTACAATAAACATTTTTTGAATTTACAGATACTTAGCATCTACCTTGTGCCCATAACTAGTTAGTACTGAGGTACAAAGATGAGTACTGGAACTCAGATATGTAAGTGCTGGAATATATGTAGACCAGTTACAATGACTGCAAGAAAGATAGACCTGTGACCAACCACTGGGTTTGCTCAGGTGATTGCTGAATGAGCAAGAGCTCTGCTAGTGGAGAGTGGGGCCAGAAGCCAGATTATAATGAAATAAGGAAGTAGACATGCAAGATAAAGTATTAGTTTTAGACAAGGCATTTGGATAGGAGACATGGCTAGGGGGGGTAAAAAAAACAACTCACTGCCATTGAGTTGATTCTGACTCACAGTGACCCCCTTTTCCCCCTTTGGGTTTCTGAGGTGGTAAATATATGCAAGTAGATTGCCTAGTCTTCCTTCCACAGAGTGGCTGGTGGATTTGAACCACCAACCTCAGGTTGTTTTTACTTATTCTAGCAGGCAAATGCCTTAAGGACTTCGCCACCACAGGGTGCGGAGTAGAGGTTTTTAATGATAGGAGGAACTTGTACTTCTGAAAATACCTTTTCTGCTGGCCTATTGATAAGAAATAAGTAATTGTGATCCAAGTTGCATTTATGAACTGCCATCAAATGTAATGTTGACTTGTATATCGATCTGGGTGTCACTTCTACTGCCTTCCCTGACCTGAACACAAGTGATCCTTTTCCAAAGCACCTTTGCTTTGATGTTTGCTTCTCTAAGTGTTTGTACCACCCTTGTGGTTTCATTAGTGGTCTTCTAGTCCAACCTCTTATTGTACAGATAAGGAATCCTAGGCTGACCAGAGATAGTTTGAATTCGCAGGGAGGGTCGCTAAGATACAGCTGCAGTGAGACCTCAGGCCTCCTTTTAGGTCTCTCCTGCACTCTCCATTGTGAGGAGAGGAACCACTGGATGCAAGGAAAGTAACCCATCCTAAGATTCTGATGTAATTTGGTTCGAAGCTAACTCTTTCCCAGCTCTGTGGTCCGGGTCAAGTTACTTGAATTTTCCAATTCAGTTTTCTGTAAAACACTTGAGATATTGTCACGGGTTCTCTATTGAGAATATATATAT